GGAGGCGAAATTTAAAGTCTCTTGTGCCTGTAAAAAAGTAGCAGAAAGGTCCCTACTCTGGAAGCAAAACAAAACATCATCCGCAAAGGCTATAGTATCACAACAAGCAAGATTTTCCAGTTTTAATAGGAGATCATTAATAATAATATTCCAAAACGTAGGTCCTGAAACAGAGCCTGAGGGCAACCCCTTTCAAGGTGACGAATTGCAGAAGCCGAGCCCAATTGCAAGTTTGGCCGCCCGATCATTTAAAAAAAATCAGCAGCAAGTGAAAAAATATTCATTGGAAGTTCCACTTTTTTGAGAAGATTGAGAATACAAGGCCACCACGCATAGTCGAAGGCGCCCTTAATATCCAAAAAGACCAAAATAGTGTGCAAGTTTTTTTTTTTTCCTCTCTGAACAATTTCATTCAAGCGTAAAAGAGCGTCTTCAGAACTTTTTTGAGGTGTAAAACCATACTGATTACCAGAAAGAAGGTCTCCATGGCGGAGATACCAGCAAATTCTGTTAATAAAAAGTTTTTCCAAGCACTTACCTAAAACAGGAAGTAAGCTTATACATCTAAGGTTATCTAGGTGAGGAATCCTAGACTCATTTCCTTTAGGAATAAGAATTACTTGAGCATGTTTCCAAACACATGGGAAAATGCCAACGTTAAAAAGTTTATGGAGAAATTGAGGAAACGTTAAATGAAACTGTTTAATAATCTCATTCGAAATAGTCAGGACCAGGTGATTTATTTGGTTCCAGCATAGAAATAACTGTATTAACTTCATCACAAGAAAACATAGGATCTACAAAAGAAGAATAAGCAGTACGCGCAGCTTGACGGTATTCCTTATGCAAATCATCAACATTTTCCTCTAGATCCGAGGGAAAAGATTTCTGAAGCACAGCAGTAATTGTCTCTTCTAAAGAGTTGGTTGTCTCTCCAGTGGAAAGACAAATACCAGTTATTTCAATTTTTTTTCATGAAATCTCTTTTAACTCCATACGTGTAAATCTTTTTCCATACATTGTGAACATCAATGGTCGAAAGAAATGTTTTCCAAGACTGAGATTTAGCATCGGCAAGCTTTAGATTGTAAACTTTTCTATATTCAAGATATTTACTTTTATAAAGTTCTCTAAGAGGCGGATTTTTACAACGCTGAAATCTACGCCTAGAGGCATTAAGCCTCTTTCTCATACAAAAAATTTCGGCAGACCACCAAGGAACATTGTGCTTACCATGATTCCTAACAGGTATGGAAATTTGAGATGCCTGGAGAAGAACAGAACTAAAATTCTCAACAAGAGTATTTAGGCGAGAACCGTCAGTACAGTCGTTAAGAATATCAATGAAACGGGTGATGCGAGAAGAACAAAATTTTCGAAAACGATCCCAATTTGCTTTCCCTGTATTGAAGATTTTAAAAGGAACATTTGAGGTGTCTCGTAAGAACGTAGAGAGACAAAATTCAAATTCAATCATCATATGATCAGAAAGGGATTCTTTTTCAGACAGCCGCCAACTCGAAACATCCTGGAGAAGATCTGAACCAATAACAGTAACATCAATATAACTAGAACCCTGAGTTGCCTGAAACGTAGGTCCATAATCTTCATTAATAACAAATAGGTTGTTGGCAGAAATAAATTCACTCAGTTTATCTCCACGAGAGTCTGAATAGGGACTAAACCATAATTCAGATTTGCCATTAGAGTCCATACACCAAACCAGTCGATTAAGATTTTTGGACAAAAAGACTTGACTAATTTTATGAAGATCTAAGTCAATGTTTCTTGAGGGTTCAAAATAGTATGAAAAAAGAGTGAGCACAGTTGAGCCAACAGTAATATCCAAGGTGACCATATTATAATCCGTATTTTTATAATCAAGAAATGTTGATAGATCACGTGATCGAATGATGATTGCCGCCTTTACATTGTCAGAATTAGGATCACAATAAAGTCTATAAGTGCCAGGATATCCTGGAAGAAAATTCTTTGTAATAATGAGGTTCCTGAACCAAAGCACAGTCAATATCATCAGCTTCCATATTTAAAATTAGCTGTTGTGTCGCAGATTTGGATTTATGAAGATTTAACTGCACACACTTTAGAACGCGTCTAGCCAATCTAGCCATAATCAATTCGAGATTGAATGTTCTTTCTCATAAATTCATGACTAGGACAGCATTCTGAAAAGGGTTTGTGATTAACATTCACTTTTTTTATAGCTGTTATTTGTTTTATGATTGAAGCGGATGCAATTTATACAAGCTACAGCATTCCTATTCGAACAATCCTTTGCCTTGTGTTCTCCAGAACAGTTAAAACAGGCTGTTCGCTCACGACATTCATCAGCACGATGGTTGTACCCAAGACACTTAAAACATCTATTGATGATAATAAAATCGTCAATTTCACATATACTCCAATTAATTTTCAACCTGGCTTGATTCAGAATACGTTTACGAACCATGGGGTGCGTTTCAATCACAACGTGCCTCGTGAACTGGAAGGTTTTTAAAGTAAAACGAACTCTACATATACTTCTGTTTTTCATCAGATTCAACAACTTCGGGAAATTTGTTCAAAAATCACTTTCAGAAGATCTTCATTAGGTATTTCATTTGGCACATTTTTTACAAGTAAAACAGGATTCTTCTTTTTTTTTGGCAAGGACGTGTTCAATTCCGGAGACTTTTCATTAATCTTGGCTTGAAGTCGATTCCGATCATTTTCTGTCAAACACTTAAGCAAAACTTTATCTTTTCCAATATTTTTTTAAAGTATATACACCTAACTTAGCTTCTAATGGATTAATTTTTAGTTTAATAACTTTCTTAACATCGTCAGAAGAACAGTTTTCAGAGTCTACAATTAAACAACAATCCGAAGAAATCAAGGACTTTTCATTGATCCTTGTAACATCAGATGGCGCCACCACACTAGCATAACTAGGTCTTTATTTCACATTGTCATACCTGCCAACTTTTACGATTTTACGATCGTAATCCATTTTTTACGATTTTTTTCCTCTTTCAAGTGTTTTTAGTGCTTTTTGTCGAAATTTTAGAATTTTTCGCCAATTGCATCGTGTTTTACCGCCAGCTACCGACTACTTCGAATCCAGTAACCTGCGGTTTCTCCCAACTCGCCGCTTAACCAGCCAATCCAATGCGCAGAACTTGTTTCTCCCACTCTTTTCTTTGTGGGTGCGCCAGATTATTTTTTTCGCGTTTGCTTCAGCAGCAAGGGAATTACTCAGCTCGAACTTGCGATTGTCGGATTGTCGAATTTTTTTTTTTTTTTTTTTTTTTTTTTTTTTTTTTTTTTTTTTTTTTGTTTTCTGTTTGCTTGCACGTGCTACGAATTTTCTTAATACGTCGTCGTTACGAAATGAGTTTACAAAAAAAAGTATTCTCAATATTTTTGGCCTACAAAGCCGTAATTTCCAACAATTAAAGAATCCTTTCAAAGGAAATAACTATGCATTTTTGCAACGTGTGCGTGTGTGACTTCATAATAAGTCACGGTGGAAGAAGTGCCATTGTGAAGCATGTTAAGTCTTAAAAACATGAAGTTAATGCTTCGGCGTCTAACTAAGCACACAATGTCAAAGAAAGTGGATGATTTTTTTTTCAAATTCGGCTACGAATTCGGATGCCGATGTCATTTTGGCAGAGTGTTTGTTTACTGCATTCCTCATCGAACACAACATGCCGCTAAGCGCTGCCGATCATGCCGGTCAACTTTTCAGACGGATGTTTCCCGACTCCAAGATTGCTCAGAAATATGCTTGTGCTCGCACTAAAACATCTTCTATTGTGAACGAAACTGCTTGCAATGCACAAAGTAAAACGATAGCTGCACTCCAGAATTCAGCATTTTCGGTGTCAATCGATGGCAGCAACGAATGCGATTGGAAGCTTTACCCCATCGTTGTCACATATTTCTGTGATGTTTCTAATGAAATGAAAACTCATCTTTTGCGTCTTCCATTGTTAAATGGAGATGCTACGGAGGAAATATTGCCTTCTTGGTAATTAATGAGTTGAAACAACTTAACATCCCAATATCAAACTGCATTTCATTTGGTGCAGATAATGCTCATGTCATGGTGGGTGACAAAAAGGGTGTAGCCTCTTTCCTCAAAAAAGAACAAAATGAATTAATTGTTATTGGATGCCCATGCCACTTAATTAATTTGGCAGCAGAAAAAGCTGCAGCTGTAATTCCACACAGTAATGCTGAGTGCGAGAGAGTCTTCAGAGTTGTGAAGAAAAACAAAACTATGTTTCGTTCTTCAATTTCACCAAAAACTCTAGAAAATATTTTAATTGCTAAATTTTATGAGGAAACTAATTGTTATGACAGGAAATTTTCCAAAGAATTTTTGGCTAAATCTTAAATTATGCTACTAAAACATATATCATCTTCACAACATGAAAAATGGACACTTCTCAGAGATGTCTATTTAACATTATCAGGAAGTCTGTGTCTTTTGAATTAAAATAATGCATTGTTTGAACTGACAAAGTTAAAGGCACTATGCATACTTAGAACTGATGTCTCCCATTATATTAGAATTCAGATGCAATAAATTTTCAATTATAAGAAAGAAAAAGAAAATTTTGTCTGGAACAATGTTAAAAGATTGGGCTGTTTTGCCTTGAAAAGAAAGTAAAAATTTCAGTGTAAAAAATTAAATAAAAAACCTCCACTAAACTAAGTTTTGTACATTTACCCCCCCACACACACACACACACGTTTCTTACATGCATATTCCAAGGTTTGTTAAAAAGTATGTAAACTTTTCTTATATAAAAAAATTCAGGAGAAAAAGGATTTTCCGTGGTCTTATTTTAATATCTTCTTAAGTTATATTTTTAGCTTTGTTTTCGCATACAAGTTCTAGTTTACAGTGTTTCATTAAAGTATTCAGTTTCTTTGTAATTGTTTATTTGCATCGTCCCACCATGTGCTGAAAATTTTATTTTTTCTTTTAGCCTCAAAATTCTCCTCATGAGGAAAGTTCGTCAGAAAGTGCCCCTACTGCTGCTCAGGCGGCAACTAATGTAACAAGTCAGACTCCTTCCAAACCAGCAGCTGTTCAAGAAACTGTTGAAAAACCTTCTGATGATAAATCAAGTGTTGCAGATTCAAAATCCGAGTCTAAATCAGAGACTACTGAATCAGCTGATGACAAAAGTGAGACCAGGTATATTCGTTACTTCCTGCGGGGATTCAAGAATGTCTTTAGAAGCATAACCACTCACGTATTTTTTCCAGGTGTTTTTTCCTTCTTTGGAAGGAACTTTCTAATCCTGTCTCCAAGTGAAGCAGGCTCCTAAATGAGATGTTCATCTTTACATTGGATTCATGTGCAATTTTTTGCCCCCTGTACTGCGATAGAATTCTTAATAGTTTGCTTTAGCTATGCAAAGAAAGTCGTGAAAATTCCCTGAAGTTCTGACAGGTTTCGTAGCGGTCCTTACAAGTGCTTATAAGTCCTTATATTTGAAAATAAAATATAAAGGCCCTTATAGGTTCTTACTTTTTCTTTAAAGCCTTTTTTTTATTATTATTATTATTTATTTAGTGCTTATTTTTTGCTTTTAGTGCCTTTTTTTTTTTTTTTTTTTTTTTTTTTTTTTTTTAATTATCCTTTGTTTTTAATGAACGCGCATTTTCCCCCCGTACCAAAGCCGAAACTAAATAAACAACTTTTCTTTTTTCTTCCTTATATGCAACGTCAGATGGTGAATCATACTCCCGGAAATTGCTTTTCCCCCTCTTCCTCTGCATTAACGTAACCTATGGTGCACGCGAGAGTACAGACAGGTGCACGTCGTTCTATTGGCCAAAGAATTGCGAAAACGGTAGAAAATTCCGGTACATTTGGTATTCTTTTCTTCCCACCCAAGTACTACACACGTTTGAATTTCTATCAAGATTTTAATAATTTGCATTCTCGTTCCGCGTGGTCAGTTCATATTCGTGTTTATTGTGATCGTTATGCTTATATTATGAGCATATGTATGAATATGTATAATAATATAGTTGCAGTAACTGCTGAAGTATAGATAAACTTCCAAAAATGGGTGTGTTTTTACACAGATTAGCTTTCTAAGGAATAATATTCGGAATGGCTTAAATAAAAGGAAAGTAATCGAATAATCAAAATAATTTCATTTTCGTTGCCAATACATTATACAGTAATTAAAAATAAATTGTATTTATTATTAGGTGCCAAACGAATACAATTAATATGGCTAATTATTATTTATTTTCATATTTTCAACTGAAATATCATCATTAAGTTTTGTAATATAGTTTAGTTCTGAACAGTTTTTTCCCCTCTCATTGTAAACTAATTCTGTAAATTGAACTGTCATTTAAAATTAAAAAAAAAAAAAAAAGTTCATTGTTTTCCATTGTTGAGGTAATGCTCATTCTCATAATAAATATTGCATTGCTCATATTTTAAATTACAAGTCTAATTTTTCTTTTAAGGTTATGCAGTTGTGTATAATGTAATTAGACAGGTGCTTATTTTTTCCTTAAAATGTGCTTGAAAAGTGCTTATAGGTGCTTATTTTTTTTAACTAAAATGTGGCTATGAACCCTATCTGATAAGTGATGTAAAATGTTTACTTTTTATTTGCTATAGTTCTTAACAGTTATAAACCCCTTCGCTATGAGAGAACTAGGTATCAGCATGCCACAAATAAGTATTCTTCCAAGAAATGTGCATGAATACCTGATTTTTGTTGTGTAAAATCATGATTTATTAGCCTGAATATTTTTTTAAGTTTGTGTAGTATTTGATGGGTTGGTGCTTTGTATGTTAACATCATGAGAATCTGTTGACATTTAATTGCCCCCCCCCCCTCTGTGTGATATAGTTTATTCATATCGTCCCAAATCAGTCTCATTCACTAGATGTTTTTTTTTTTTTTTTTTTTTTTTTTACTTCCAGATTTTTGTTCAAAAAAGTATAAAATCTAAACCACTTAGAAAAGTTATTTGTGGAATTTTATTTCATGAATGTCATGTCTGCCTTAATGTGATCATAAGTTTTTAGTTATGTTACCGTATTCAGAATTTTTAAAAAGAATTTTAATGAGCTAGATATTATCTTAATGCTTGAAAATTCTTGAAAACATAGAATAAAATAATTAATTTGTACCAAGTAAATGATGTTTAAATGTAGTTTTTGTTACCATATCCAAAAGGTTATGCCATTCAGAGGATTCCCCTCAGCAGGTAGCCCTCTTGTCCTTTGCTGTAGTCAAATAAACCAAACTACTTACTCTTTTTTTTTTTTTTTTTTTTTTTTTTTTTTGTTATACTATTGCTGATTGATTACTTTTCTTTTAACTGTGATGTTCCACATTAACGTAGGGAGAAAATATATTATTCTCATGTCAAGGTGTTGCATGTAACTGCCACTAGTCATGAAAGGATTAATAACCAGCTAGTAACATTATTGGAAAATTTAGCACAGTTAGAAAAGAATTGGGATTTAATAAACTGGATAATGAATATATGTACAACTTGGCTCTGGTATAAAAAAATGGGGAAGAAGAAGGAAAAAAAACTACTAATTTATGGTACATTGTTATAATTTCCTGTTATGCAGATTTAAAATCAACAGCCTTTAGTCACTATCATATGTATATGATAGCACATAACCAAAATTTAGTAAAGGACAGATCATAATCTTTTGTCCTGTGATGAATAAATCATTAAGTTTCCAAAACAGTGCAGTCAATAGGTTTTTACCAGATGGCCTGTCTTGGTATCGATAGTGAATATAAAAAATTCTATTCAGAATGAGATGTGGGGTGTAACCATGGTGATTAGTGACATCACACAGTACTTAATATCAACTCTTGGTTTGTGAAATGAACATTTATTTATGTGTTGTTGCTACTATTGACATAAACTTCTATGTTGATCCAAAGTAGAAAATGCTTAGAGTATTAGGCATTTACTATTAGCAACATGAAAAACAGGCAGTTGACTTAATATTCTAAAGGATATAGGAAAAACAATCAAACTGAGTTAGATTTGTTAAAAGTTGATTTAAATTGTGTTCCCTCCAAGTCTCATAATATTGTTACGTTATTTTCTTTTCTTTACGTTCGTGTGGATTTGGAGTGAATAATGACGACAGCACTTGATGGAATATCGAACACTTTATTTAGCCAGTACTAATCAGGACAGCTCCAAAATCACATTATAGTCATCAAAGAACTACTATAAATACGCTGACACAATCAGCGACACAGCCTTGAGATTATCAGGCTATGACGGTCGAGACAGCTTCACTGCAAAGCACCAGAGTGCAGCTCCTGGCTCTGCTCGGTCGTTCTCGGAACTCCACATACGCTCGAGACTCCATGCTACGATGCACTCGACGACACACAGAGCCCGACTCTTCGGTTCAGTCATTCCTGGAGCTTAACAAGCTCTCGGCCCTAGACTTCGAGACACTATCAGACTGACTATCAGTCGCTAGACGAGACACTCTCACACTAACTGACAGCGGGCCAGCAGGGTTTATATAGCTTTCAGCTTGTGTTCAAGAACATTCTAGGCTAAACCGGTAAAAATTCGTTCCAGAAGGTTCTCCATCCGTACATGGCATGTCACCAAATGGACGATTTCTCGCCAAATGTGGCAAAGCATGCATTTATTCTGTTGTGGTGTATGTGCTATCAATGAAGTAGATTTGATTCAATTGAATTCAATAAGTTTAAATGAAAGGCAAGAAAAAATGTGTATAATTTAATATTCCGTACAATGAAGTCATGTGGTTAACGCATTAGTTTTTATTATTATTATTATTGTTTTGATTATTTTCCAGGTGATAATTTTAGTTCTCTAATCACACAGAGTTTTTAATAAAAATCTTTATTTCTTTAATTATAATCTAGTCATCGTATTAAGTGTTTGTGACACTATTTTTCCACTTTTCATTTATGGTAAATCTTATTAATATCTTTATATTTTATAGATATTGTAAGAATACTTTTTAAAAATATTTATAATCATTATCAAAGCTGTTTTTTATTTTTGCATTTATTTGAATCTAAGATTTCTGCATTATACTGTTTTCTTTTTGTTTCCTTTGTAGCAAAATTTTTATAAGTTAGCAAATTCTGTGGATCGCAGGTTATTAGAAAAGTGCCTTTTATGAATTTGAGTTTTCAAAATAATAATATATATATTTTTTAATCTTATTCCAGCCTTACTTCTGTGAATGTTGAAGGTTTAGATATATCAGCTGCAGAATCCACTTTAGTGTTAGGTGAAGATTATGCAAGAATGGTTTCTCAAATTGCTGAAATGGGTTATGAAAGAGAGGATGTAGAAAGGGCTTTAAGAGCTAGCTTTAATAATCCTGATAGAGCTGTTGAATATTTGCTTACTGTGAGTATTTTTATTCTGGATCTTGTTTTTAACCTAAATATTAAACCCTTTGGATAATGCTTAATATAACATTTAATGCATTTAAAAAAAAATTTAGTAAGAAAAGTTTTTTGGGGGGATCATTCACACCCCACACAAATAGTCACCAATTTATTGACAACCTGTGAAATGGTGGGAAACATTTACTTGGCTAACTTTACAGCTCATGGGTACTGTTGTTATTGATGATAATAAAAAAAAAAAAAAAAAAACAAGGAATTTGATGAGTTAAAAAATTACTTGGATACTTTTATTCAGCTATGTCCTTCGTGCTAGTTATTGTAATATATTGTAATGTTAATGTACGATAATTAATGTAGAAATCAATTTCAAAAATTATCACTATTCCTTATGAATTATATATTCAGTAAACATACCAGTTGATTTATGAGGTTTAGATAGCTAAACAAATAAAATATTTGCATGGCAATCAGGCATAAGTCTTTTGACATTAGATGGCAAAATACTGCATCTTTATGAAACATATTTTAATCTTGAAACTGAGGTTGCAAATAATCAAAAGTACTGAACATTTTAATAAATAGTAAATTTAGTGATGCACATAACTTGGCCACAGTCTTTATATGTTGTAATTAAAATTTTAAAATTTGTATATGTATATTTTCACTGAATATTAATTTTTGGGTATTGCTAATTAGTTGTGTGCACTGTTGCTCTTTGAAATCACTTTGTACAGACATGTACACCCATTATCAGTGACTACTGGCTGATTAAATATGTTGTGAATACCAAATGCTTGTTCTATTGTTGTTACAGTAATCGTTGTTACAGTCCGTAATCGGGACTCGTTGGACTTCGATGATTCCGGATTATAGATCATCAATTTAAATCTGGTAAGATGGCATGCAGAAATTATACAATTAAAAATATGAAACTGTAATTTATGAAATAAAGAACAATTATAATATAAAGGGTATCAAGTTTTACAAAAAAAAAAAAAGCTTAATATTTATTTGTTTACTTTATTAAACATTTATTTCAATGTAAGTTGTTTAAGTTGCTTCTTTTTGTGCTAATACTTTCTCTTTGATTCTATAAACAGACATAATGTCTTGTTCAGTTACAAAGTTCAACTGTTCAAGTCCTATACTTGCTGTGTCGAGAGTACCGACTAACTTTTCATTCGAAATTTTTTCGTTTTCAATAACCTCTCTGTCACTTTCTTCATTATCAGAAGCGGTATTTTCTGAATCTAGAACCATACTGCAGATTTCGCTGTTCATTAATTGATTGATGATTGGGGCAATGTCGTCACAATGAAAAACTTATGTTATATCTTCATTTAGTACCGCTTCTCCACAGTTCTTTACAAAATCCAATAACTGGAAAATTTCATGTTTTGTTTGCGATGTCCGAAAACCTTTAAATTCATGGCTATCATCATTGTCCTTACCATGAAATATGGTAGCTGGCCATAAATTATGCCAAGCATTTTTTAACGTATCTGGAGACTCATCCTCCCACCATCTTGCGATGCTCCTCACAGTATATTTTATGCTAAAAGATTTCAAAAAGTCTTGAATAGTCTTGCCATTGTTCAAGAAATTTAATATAGATTTTTAAAATGCTACTTTATATTTGCATTTCAGCACGTGCACTATTCCCATATACATAGGCTGAATGATAGACGTACAATTTGGAGGGAAGAGTAATACGGATACATTATCCTTCACTCAAACTTTAAGTGAAGTATGTGCTGAACAGTTGTCAACAATCAGGACTATTTTTGAGTCATCAGGTAAACCAACCGAATTCAAATGTCACCGACCCTCAGGTATAAAATGATTTTTAAACCAATCGTCATCAATGCTTTTTTATTTGCGCGATATATCACAGGGAAAATCGTTACTCCTTTAAATGCTCGAGGTCGTGCATGTTTTCGAATAATTAATTAAATAATTAAAATTAGCCATTAATACAGCATGACCAGATGCAAAAAGCCATGCAGCTAAGAAGGTCAGTATTGTATGATATTCTTTTAGCCACTGTGATATTAATTTTCCCACCCTGCAGCTTGTGATTACAAATTAATTTTTTTAACCACACATTGAAAGGTATTTTTTATAATTAAAAAATTAATTTCTTATTTTCAGTTCTGCGTATTTTTGTTCCCTTACAACAAAGAACTTCTTTACTTTTATATGAGAAGCTTGAGAATTGAAATGCGTATGTGTTTTATAGCTTTGGTTCTTATTTCAGGGTGTGCTTCCTGCTGAACACGAACCTCAAAGTGAATCACCTCCTGCTCCTAATACACAATCTAGCAATAATAGTTCAGTTACAGCAGGAAGTGACAGTAAGTAAATCTAAATTACAAATAGTCGTATAACTGGTAAATCTCTTCATGTCAGATTCGTGCTGATCAAAGATTTAATGTCTTATGCGTACTGTAGATAAATGGTTCTATTTGCATTATTATAAAGAACTTCTAAAAAAGTATTTGTTAGTATATCTGATATTATTGAATGATCTAACATAATGTAATACATTGCATTCCAGAAGTGATTAATTGGCTTTGCGTAATGTAATGATTGCAATCTAAAAGATGTAACCAGTTTTTTAAACCATCACAAGGCTCTTATTGCAAAAAAAAGCTTGTTTGAGTTCTAACAAGATTTAAATTTATTTTGTTCAAGTACCATTTAAACCTGAGTAGCTTCTCTCTCTCTCTCTCTTTTTAGAATATTAATTTTAACTTTATGTATTTCTAATTCGTTACTCTATCTAATAATATAACAGCCAGTGGATAAATTTCACTCATTATAAATCTCAATAGAGCAAATTGCAGTCAGTTGTGTCGAGCAAACTTTTGCAGTGTTTCTGTGACTAATACCTATGCATTTGTAATGTGATCTGTTGACAACACTAAACTTCTGTGTAATTTTTTTTTTTTTTTTTTTTTTTTTTTTTTTTTTTTTTTTTTATTGGCTGGGAGGAAAAAAAAATAGCATAAGTTTTGTGTCAAAAGTTGTGATCATATAAAACTGACTACTGGTAGCAATAAAGGTTATACTAAATTTAGTTTATGAATCTTGAGAGTCCTGTATATTAAAGAATAATAGTGGTATTTGATGAAAGATAGATGATAATTATAAACCACAAAATGTTTAATTGGAAATATTTATTTTCTTGAAAGTTTTGTTTTTATTTACTGTGAAATGTTTTCTTTGTAAATTGTTGTTTGGAGGCACAGGAGCAAATCCATTCTTTTCAGAAATCTTTTTTTATAATAGCATCGTCAGATTTCTTTTGTAATAATTTCTGAAAAATATTTTAGATTTATAAATTGGAAAAGTTTCTGCAAGTTAATGTAGCTGAAATGCTCTATAACTAGGATAACCATAACTGGCAATTGGTGAAGCTATTACCACGTGCCTGCTAGAGCCGTTGTTATGGACTGTATCTATGAAATAACAAAATTAATTTTTTTTTAAATCCATCTTTTATTCTATTTGAAAATTAACTGCTCAATTAGCAGCCATTCAAAAATCCAAGCAACAAATTTCTCATCGAACAAGCTAATAAAAAGAATTACAAAAACAAACGATATTGATGCATGGGCGTTACAAGATTTGTTGCTAGGCAACTAAGTTTAGAGGCGAAAGGTTTCCCATAGCAGACGATCAGGTGCCAACAGCCATGTTGAATGTATATATGAAATATGGTAAACTTAAATATATGTATGAATACGGTAAACTAACTCCTCAATGTCCAAAATAAAGTCATCAGATGTGAACGCATACTGTTATTGAATGCATGTTTAGAATCAGATTTCCATTTGAAACCTGTTTTGCTATTTTTAAAATGATGTAAATATGTGCCGTGTGGAAAATCTAGTTTTGGCTCTCATATTTTAATATGTGATTCTTACTGACTGAAGTTTGGCCACCCCTGCTGTATAGAATTGTTTCAGTGTAACCAGATCTAGAATTCATCCCACCACCACCATTCTTCTAAAGAAGTAAATGGTATTAAATTTAATGTTTACTCAATACAATTTTTGAAATCATAATAAAATTTATTATAGTATTGTATTTGCTTATATTGAATAAATATATGTCTTCTACTTTATCTAGATTTATATAAATGAAATATTGAATAATCTTGGTAATTAGTGAAATGTTTACCGTATTTATGCGAATCTAATGCGCATCCCCATTTTAAAACTTTAAATAATAAAAAAATTGTTTGTCGGCGAATGTAATGCGCATCAATGGTATGAGGAATTTATTGAATCTTATTTTATACAACAATGGATTTGTATATAAACTATCAATCAATGGTATGATAATTTTATTTAAATTTAGATACCATATTTTATACAACAATGGATTTATACATAAAGTAACAGAACATAGAATTAACCTATTAGTGGGCTATTGTTATGTAAAACAATCATTGTTAATTACCACTACCGTATATACGGTACATATCGTAAAGTATGAATAACATGAAATAAATGGTAACATTTCTATCTAGCTAACAGTTTCTACAATCAGTGATTAATAGTAAACGTCTTTATTCACTATTTTGATGATAACTTTTTAGTCCCCCTTCTTCGTAATGGTGTGATTAGTACGAGGCATATCAAATCAAATTGGCGTCTCATCAGGCTTGCCAATTTGCCCCATTAAAAAATTCTTTTCCTTCCCGAAGTGTGATGACATACCGCTAAAATGTTAGTAGTTTTCCCTCAAAATCTGCAGGAAGCTTTTGGCATATTGTTGTACGGCGTCTTAGAAATAAGCCCATTCGCTTCATAAACCGATCCACCCATCGACGGCTAGCTTTAAACTCTCGTTCGGTATTCCAAGAACTTCAGCCCTCCTTTTGCTTTATTTCTTATAGTGTCGCTAGTCACAGGTTGTCCATTCTTCCTCCTTTCACGTACAAATTCCAAAACTCTTTCTTCAATTTTAGGGTGTCTTCCTTTGCGAGGATCAGTGAATTTCTTTCTACTAGTTTTAGTTGCAAACAGTGCCAATTTCTGTTGCCGCCACAAGCGAACATTGCTCTCAGCTACGTTTAACTCTCTCCCAGCCTTTCTATTGCCATTTCTTTCAGGGTAAAGAATTACTTTACGTTTGAAAGTAGCGTCATATGACATTCTTCTCAGCTTGTTCTCCATCTCGTGACTACATACTCTGCAGTTTGTATCCTCTATGCAATAATGTGTCAACGATAAATGTAACGGTAAATGTAGTCGAGAAATACAGTAATCCATTGTTAAGATTTAATTCGGTTGACGTCATCAGCGAACTTTACACTCGAATCTAATGCGCACCCCAATTTTGAGTACTACATTTGGCCAAAAACGATGCGCATTAGATTCGCGTAAATACGGTATGTTACTGAGGGGGAGAGGGTTATTTGATTAGGACAAAGCATAGAATTATCTGCGTAAGAGGAAGGATGCTTTCATGAAGGAATATCTCGGGATGACTGGCTCACATCCACAGTAAACATGGGAAAAAACATGAAAATACCTATATAGTCAGCCCATTCACTTGTAATCAGACCCAGATCGAACTGCCAGTGTTCAGGGACTTTATCATTCGGCTATTGGTTGGTTCTCCCAAATTATATAGCAGATTTCAGTTTTAAACCGATATTCTAGTACCAGTTTGTACTTGAAAGCCGTTAACTTTTATTGTGACCAAGAACTTACTTAAATCATGCTAGTTGTATAGAATTTAACCTCTGTCCTTTGGGTGTAACAAATTGAGCAATAAATATTACTTGATTTAATAGTATGAACATAATACAGCTTCTAATTTTACTACCTAATAATACGCCGTGTGAAAAAAATTCTACTTATTTTATAATTGAAAGTTATTATCAGACTTTGTCACTGATGCCAGTGTGATAATTAGCATCCTTGATCTGTAAAGTGTGGAGTAATAGAAGTTTAGAAGGTATTCGCTTTTATAGAGTAATTCATGTACGAGGCATATTCGGAAACTAAGTACCGTTTTGAGAAAAAAAAAAGTAAAACAATTTTTTCGAATCCAATTTTTATTTTTGCATGAAAATACATGTTTTAAACTATTTTTCAACATAGTTTCCGCCAATGATCAAACACTTGTCATAGCGGGTGACCAGTTTTTGTATACCATCGTCAAAGAAACTTCCCGCGAGTTTCGATAACCACAACTCCACAGCATTTTTCGTGTCATCGTCAGATCCAAAGCGCTTGCCACCAAGCTCGTGCTTCATGTGCAGGAACAGGTGATAGCCGAACGGCGCCAAGTCCGGGCTGTACGGCGGGTGATCGAACTGCTCCCAATGAAACTGTCGAATTAACGATTGAATGACACCAGCAGTATGGTGTCGAGCATTGTCATGGAGTAACACAATTCCCTTACTGAGCATTCCTCTTTGTTTGTTTTGAATGGCACGCCTTAGTTTTGTTAAAGTCTCACAATATCGTGCCGCATTAATGGTTTCACCTCTGGGAAGAAATTCAGTAAACAAAACGCCTTTCCTATCCCAGAAGACAGTGCACATGATTTTTTGTGATGACATTGTCACTTTGAACTTTTGTTTTCTCGGAGAATAAGTGTGTCTCCACTCCATCAATTGTTTCGAGTCTGGTGTGAAATGACACACCCAAGTTTCATCACCTGTCACAATTTGGTTTAAAAAGTTTTCTCCCTCATCACTGTACCGCGTGATAAATGTCAGGGCACCAAGTCGCTTTTTTTTTTTTTTTTTTTTTTTTTTTTTTTTTTTTTTTTTGAACATCAGTGAGCGTTTTTGGAACCCATCGGGAACACAGTTTGCGATAATTCAAGCGGTCAGACACAATTTCAAACAAAACAGTACGTGAAATTTGTGGCAATGCCTCTGAAAGAGTTGTCATTGTGAAGCGTCTGTTCTCATGAATTGCTTCATCAACTTTCCTTACCAAATCATCGGTGACAACAGAAGGCCGACCACTCCGAGCCTCAGCATGGACATTTTTTCGACCTGCATTAAACATTCTTACCCACTTCTCACCATTCCATCACTTATCGAGTATTCACCGTAAACTTCTGTCACTTGACGATAAATTTCAGCCTGTTTAACATTCCTTGCGTTCAAAAATTTAATCACGGCACGAATCTCACAGTCAGCAGGAGAACTAATTGTCTTAAACATTTTGAATGTGCACTGCAAACTGAAAACACAACATATAGCAACCAAAATGGCGACAATTGAAAGTCAGTGAACAAGAAAGACTAGTGCGCATGCGCGGGACGCCTAACACAGCGCTGCGACGGCGCTAGAATGAAACGGTACTTAGTTTCCGAATGC